GGACGGGGCCCTCGCTGGGTTTCAGGCCTGCTCACAAGGTTCGGGGGTAAATCACCTATTCTCACCGTGGCTTGTGCAGCGATGTGAGGTCAGGTTCTCTGGGTGGACTGTGGGGCTGAGACTTCACCTGGCGTGTTCTTTGTGTCTGATTAGTGCTGTGCTGTTAGGTTAGTTCTGAAGCTGCCTGATGCCGCCTCATAAATTTGTCGCTTTTTAAAGACGGCGTATTCAGTGTTTATTTTGAGAAACATTTCAAATCCCCAGAACATAAGAGGACAGAAGATGCTTTGACTTGGTGCCTGGCGCAAGCTCTCGGGGTACAGAGAAAGCCGGGGAGTAGGACAAGCCCAGGAGAGGTCCCAGCCTCCGGGGAGCCCCCTTGTTTGGAGACGTGTTTTTGCTCCCCATTTCTTCTTGACCCCCAAGTTGTTTCAGTTCCCTGAGCCCAAGACTGGATTAGCTTTCTCAGTGGGCATCGTGGCTTCCTCACAGCCCCCTCACATGCACATCTGCCCACCCGCCCCGGAGCTGGGATCAGGCCGCAGGAGACGGCGGTCAGCACAGGCCGCCCCTGCCCACACGTGTCAGGTCTCAGGGTGCACATGTCACCCTCCCGGCTGTCCCCTGAGCGTGGACGAGGGTCTGACCCAGGACATGGGTTGGGGGACCAGGCTCCGCCCTCCTCACTGTCCCTCTCCCGTGGCCAGGGCCCTGGACTTCGGGTACCTGACCCAGGACATGATTGATGACTACGAGCCAGCCCTCATGTTCACCATCCCCAGGTTGGCCATCGTGTGGTGAGTGTCCCTCCTGCCCGGACCGTCCTTTGGCAGAAACCTGGCCGGACCGTCCGACCAGCGGCCCCTTCTGGGTGTCGATAAATGGTGCTCACGCCCCCGAGAGGTGGCTGCTCCGCCGTCTGGAGCAGTCGCCAGGAAGTCCTGCTGTCATCTCAGCATACGGGAGCCATGTGCTGAGCGTGAGGCGGCCGCAGAGGCCCCGGGTACGTCTGGGGTCACCCGGGCAGCTGCGGGGCCTGAAGCCAGGGTGGCTTTGTGTCTTGACTGCAGCGGCCTCGTGGTCTACGCAGACGGACCCCTGAACTTGGACCGCAAGGTGGAGGACATGTCCGAGCTGTTCCGACCCTTCCAGACACTGCTGCGGAAGATAAGGTGCGGGGGTGGCTGAGGCGGCTCCGCCCCGCCCTCTGTTCCGGGGGAGCCTTGGTCTTGGTCTTGGTTGCTGGTTTATGACGTCGGAGCCCCTTTGTGGCTCTGTGCCCGTCCTTCCCCACGGGGCGAGCTCCGTGTTCCCAGCCAGTCGTGTGGAGACCTTCCATGCAGACACCCTGCCGGGGGCCCCGCCCTGGCCCTCTGTCCTTACAGCCCTGGGAGGATGGGCCTGGCTTACAGGACAGGCTGTGGAGTGCGTGTCGCTGTGTAAGGAGAGTCACAGGCTAAGCAGTTTGTGTGGGTTTTTAAGTCAATCATATATTTTTTTAAATATGTTTTTCTTAAATTGATTTCAGAGAGAGGAAGGGAGAGGGTGGGAGATAGAGGGAGACAGAAACAGCAGTGGCTACCCTGCATTTTCCTTTGTTGCAGTTGTGGTTATTGTAATTCAGTCATCACTCGTATAAATATTTATTTTCTGCCTCTTCCAACTCAACACCCTGAGCATGCCCAGTGCCTGGCACGCAAACAGGGTTCAGTGACGACTGTGGGACAAAAGGATGAAAGTCTGTATGGAAACCAGCACACGTTTTTTCACTCCCAGGTTTTTTTTATATTCTTTTTTAACAATTGTATTGAGCCCAGCCGGGCGTGGCTCAGCGGTTGAGCGTTGACCTGGGATCCGGGCGATCGGGGTTCGATTCCCGGTCAGGGCACATGCCCGGGTTGCGGGCTCAATCCCCAGTCGGGGGTGTGCAGGAGGCAGCCGATCGATGGCTCTCTCATCATTGATGTTTCTCTCTCTCTCTCCCTCTCTTTTCCTCTCTCTGAAATCAATAAAGATATATTTTTTTTAAAAATTTTTAAAAAAAGAATTGTATTGAATGCTTTAGAGAGAGAGGAAGGGAGATGGAGAGAGAGAGAAACATTGATGTGTGAGAGTGAAACCGATCGGCTGCCTCCTGCACGCCCGCTTCTGGGGGAATCGAACCTTGTGGTGCACGGGACTGCGCCCAACCAGCTGAGCCACACTGGCCAAGGCCCTAGATGTTTTTATATTAATGCAATTATCACACCCCTCGGGACCAGGGCTTTCTTGTTTCCAGCAAGAGGTTTCAGAACTTGGCTGTAAAGAAAGAAACCACCCCCTTGGGAGTCGGTGCTTCACTTTACAGCAGAGGAAATGCGTGCATGTGAATGACCTGCAAGTGGCCACTGCCTCGCTGCTGGTGCAGGCCTGGTGGCACTGTGTTCACGCCTGGTGGAGACAGCTGTGGCCTTTGAGACCTTCACCCGCTTTTGTCTGGTCCCCTGTAGGGATTTGCTGCAGACCCTGACCGAGGACGAGTTGCACACCCTGGAGCGGAACCTCTGCATTTCCCAAGACGTGGAATTCCCCATCCGGGCAGACGTGCCAGTGCCCCCTGCCCTGGCGCCCGCCTTCCCCACACCCCTGCCCACTGAGGAGCTGCTCTCTGCCAAGGCCAAGAACCCGGAGGGAGAGCTGGCCTGCTCCATGCAATATGACGACCAGGAGCTGGAGCAGCTCAGCCGCATGGTGCACCAGGCCGGAGATGAGATGTCCTCCCTGCTGTCCCCACCCAGTGCCTGCCAGTCCCCCGCGCGCAGGCCGGGCACTGAGGGCAGCCCCCGGGCCGAGGCCTCCCCAGGCCACCGGCTGCTGCAGCCGGGCAGTGATGAGGAGGAGGGAAGGGTGTTCTTCATGGAAGACATGGAGGGGACAGCAGAGCCCCCGGGCAGCTCACCCGTGTGGACCCACAGCCCCTGTGCCGACCCCCAGGAGACAGGGCAGGGCGGGGAGGCGGGCGTCCGCGTGCCCACCACCTCGGAGGAAGAGGGAGACTTGAGCAACAACAACGTCCAGGACCAGGACAAGAGGACGTGGGCAGCCGGCCCCAACTCCTGCAGCTGCCTGGACTCCCAGCCCCACCTGGATGGCTGGGAGGCGACTGTGGAAGATGCCGAGACAGCCGAGATGATCGCCCACCGGACAGGTGGCATGAAGCTCTCGGCCACCGTCATCTTCAATCCCAAATCGCCCACCTCCCTGGATTGCTCCGTATCTGCCCCAGAAGCCTCCGGAAACGGCGGCTCCCCATCTGAGCCCGTGTCCGAGGGGACAGAGAACGGCTCCCACAAACTCAGCGCTGCAGCCACCAACTGCCTCCTCAACTCCTGCGTGTGCTGTGGGGGCTGCAGGGGTGGCAGGGAGGACACGGCCGAGAGCCTGCAGGACAAGTGCAGCCTGGGGGGTGTCATCAGTGACTCCTACGTGGGCTCAGCCAAGGCCAGTGCCAAGGGCAAGGCCGAGAGACCGGAGGAGGCTCAGCCGGCCCTGGAGGCCCTTCCTGAGGGCGCCTCAGCCCCCCTGCCCTCAGAAGACACCCCTGACAGGCAGGAGCCCAAAGCCCCTGCTTCCAACAAGTGCCTGGTACTCACCTCAGGGCCCCTGGTCGACGTGGCAGACAGGCCACACGGAGGTGGCGATGGTGGTCAGCAGGAAGAGCCTGAGGCTGGACAGCAAGACCACGGGCAGCCCTCAGGGTCCAGGGAGGGGAGTCGGAGCCTGTCGGGCCCCAGGTAAGAGCTCTGGCCACTGGATTTGCCCTCTCTGAGTGCACTTGGGGCCAGTCGCATTGGCTGATTCTCTGTCCAGGGGTTTCCACAGGACCGGTCAGGGTGTGTCCTCGGGCATCAATGCTGCAGGCAATTCAGCAGCTCGTATCAGGGCCCTCCTGGGCCCAGTAGCAGCATCCAGCCCAGAAATGACCCCAAGGGGACCCCTGACCTTACAGACATCATTCAGGTGAAGGCACATGGCCAAGCCCTTGGCCCGCCCCTTTTGCCACCGTGGCCCATCCTGGCCCTGGTGTGATGGGTGTGTGTGTGGGCTGGGCAGTGGCACCTGGGCATGGCTGTGTCTTTGCTTCCCACCTGGCACTCACCTGACCACCCAGCTACTCAGCTCACATGGGCTGCAGTTAGCTGCACAGACCCTCAGCAATGGGCGTGGGTGTTGGGGCTGCTCTCCTCTCTCCTCCCATGCACACCTTCCATGTTTGTGGCCTGGGCCACACAGCCCATGTGCCACGGCTGCCTCTTCTGTGCAGGGTCTGCAGTCACTCCCCACCTCTCCCCCACCCCAGGCACCCACTAATCTACTTTCTGGCTCCATCGAGTGGCCTGTTCTGGACATGTCTCATAAACAGAATCACCCAAAATGTGACTCTTTGTATCTGGCTTCTTAACATGATGCTTCCGAGGCTCATCCACATTGCAGCAAACACCAGCACTCATTTTTCATGGCTGAGTAGTATTCCTTATGAGGATGGACCACATTTTGTTTATTCATCCATCCATCAAGGCGCGTGTGTGTGTGTGTATGTGTATGCTGTTCCCATCTTTTAGCTATTAGAATAATGCTGCTGTGAACATCTGTGTACAAGTTTCTGTGTGGTCATGTTTCCATTTCTTTTGTGTTTATACCCAGGAGTGGAGTTGCTGGGCCACATGGTTTAGCTTTAAAAAAAAAAAAATGTTCTGCCCAGCCGATGTGGCTCAGTGGTTGAGTGTCCACCCATGAACCTGGAGGTTGCGGTTCGATTCCCGGTCAGGGCACATGCCCGGGTTGTGGGCTCGATCCCCAGTAGGGAACGTGCGGGAGGCAGCCGATCAATGACTCTCTCTTATCACTGATGTTTCTCTCTCTCTCCCTCTCCCTGAAATCAATAAAAACATATTTTTAAAAATTAAACAGCCAGACGATCTTTAAAAAATTGTTTTTATTTATTTTTAAGAGAGAGGCAGGGAGAGGGAGGAAGCAGAGAAAGAGAAACATCGACCAGTTGCCGCCTGCACGCGCCCCAACCAGGGACCAAACCTGCATGTGCCCTGACTGGGAATCTCTTAACTGGCGACGCTCAGCCAACTGAGCCACACTGGCCAGGGCCACGGTTTAGCTCTCTGAAGTACTGTCCCATTTTCCACAGTGGCTGCAGTTTGCATGCCCACTGTCCTGTCTGAGGGTTTGTTTCTCCAAATCCTTACCAACACCTGTGATCCTGTAAGATTTTTAAGCATTTCTTTTGTCCGTGGAGCACACCTACTGGAACTCACTTGAAATCCCTGTCTGAGGTCAGGCTCCAGGTTACCCGCAGCAGGTTCATGTGTCCCCTTTAGCCCTAGACGTGTGGACATTGTGTTTGCTCTGGATGCCATTATAATTAGATGAAATGTTTGCGTGGCTCCCGTCTGGTCTACAGAACCAGACATAACCAGAGAACTCCGTCCCTTCACCTCTCCTAAAGTAACAGTTGAAATTTTTTTTATAGTTTCTCCTTCAATTTTAGAAATAGAAGCAGTGATGTACATGCACCCACATACATGCACACACACGCACACACACGCATGTCTTTCCCCTCCTGTTCTTTGCAGAGGCCTTATCCTGCACACACTTCCCTCACCCTTCTTTCCTGACCAAGCCCCGAGGCCTCCGGTGGTAACTTCTAGAAATGTCCCCACTGCCACTTCCGGCCACGTGGGACCCCACCGTGTGGTCGGACCAGTGTGCACCCAGACCAGCTGCCGGCCGTGGGGTTGTCCCAGACTTTGTTCCCACAAACGGTGCCGCGGGGAGCAGCCTCGTGTGAACGTCGCGCTGTGTCTGATGGGCCACCTCTGGGATGCCAGCCCAGCCTCAGCCGCGTCTAGTGGGACGAAAGTCTGTCCACAGCCCGCTGGACGGCTCTCCCTCAGGGCCTCCGACTGGCCAAGTGGATTGGTAAGTGCACTGCTTTTCTGAAAGGCTGATAAGAAAACATCGTAAATTCTTGGACGGGATCCATGGGTTTTTGTTTTTGACCTGCACCCACTTTTTTTTGGCTGTTTGTTCAGGTGACAGCGAGTGGAAGACCGCTGCTCTGCCTGGAACCTGCTTTCCTCCTGCTTTCCTGACCTGTCCGGTGGTGGACACTGCTCGTTCAGCCAGCCTCCCAGGCCTCCTCAGCTCAGCGCACATGCTGAAGCCGAACCGAGAAAAGGACAGAGAGCCCCCTCGGTGGCCTCCAGGGACATCCCACCCTCCAGGGTTTCCAAAAGGAGCAGAAGTCCGAGGAAGGAAGGAAGAACGCGGCAGGTGGCGGGTTTTCAGGCCAGAAGCTGTGTTTGGGTCAGGACCTTGGACAGAGGCACCCCCCCACTCCACCCCCTGCGCCCAGCAGCTGGGAATCAGGTCAGCAGGTGGCGCTGTCCCACCCACAGGAGGGACACAGGGCAGAGCCTCCCCCAGGCACATCACAGGCGGGTTCCCCAGCAGCTGAGCAAGGCTCCGGAGACCCAGACAAGGACCTCAGGGGCGCCCGCCCTCACGGAGCCTGATGGAACACTGGGACGCAGGTGACAAAGCAGCACTGGCAAAAGAGACAGGCATAAAAGCTCACCAAAATTCAAACGACAAGGTGCCTGGAGCCTGTCTGGGGTTGTTAGGTGACAGCATCTGGTCTCCTGTGCGGTGCAGGTGGTTGCCCCCCACTTGGCAGATGGAGAGACAGAGACCAGAGAGGCAGAGACCGGAGAGTCCGCGTGCCTCAGCTCAGAGCGCCCGCAGCGCGAGCCTGTGCTGCCCCGTGACGTTCGCTCACCTACCACTCGTCCTGAGGCCGGCCTGTCCAGCAGGTGCCCCTGCAGCCCTGCAGTGTTTGGCCAGGAGAAGTGAACAGCAGGCACCGCACTGCGGTCAGGGTTCCCGTCCCATGCACAAGTCAGACAGAGCCAGCCTCAGACCCGTGGGCCACACTCTGAGACGGTGCCACAGAGGAGACACACGGGGCCGTGACGGGGGCCTGCTTGCCCTAAGGAGAGCCCGAGCGTGTTTTCCAGGTCAAGCAGAACACAGCCCCCAGGTGGAAGGGCCAGGCTGTGAGGGTCCTGGAGGAGGGTCCAGCCAGGAGAAGACCCTCTGCAGCATTTCCCAGGCCCGGCCTTCACCCCGCTGCCCACGGCCAGTTCCACCAGCATCACCACCCAGGGTCCTGGCAGAACCGGCAGAACCACGTGGCCTCAGCTCTTTGCTGCCTTCTTTCTCAGCTTCTCAGCTCACAGGTTAGCCTTTTTGGGAAAAGTAAGCACTTTTTAAAACCATGTTGTACCTGTGTGGTCTCACCCCGGTATCCGGAAGCTCCGTGCCCGAGGCCAGCTGAGTCAGCCTCTTGTGTGGACAATGGAAATCCGTCCGTCTTGAGGGCGCCTGGCCTTTCCCTGGATGTTCTAACCTGTTTCCACCCTTCTGCCTTCTTAAAAAAAATAATACCGACTCTCTTTTTTATCATTATAACGTGTTCCCTGTTCATTGTGGAAACTTAGGGAAACATAAGCGGGAATAAAGGAAAAATAAAAACCATCCCAGATCCTATGAGCAGTTTCATCATTTTTCCGCCGAACATTATTCCATGGTCATTTCTCCATAAAGCTCTTTGAAAACACAGTTCTCGTAGACTTTCACTCTTTCATGGGGACACATGTTAATTTGTTCTATACTTTCCTGTTTCCATATCTTCCCAAGTCGAATGAGCCTTGTGGTCATGCGCCCTCCTGGATCTGCGTTGTGGATTATTTCCTAGCGCCACCGCTGGGGACAGAGTGACCACAGCAAAGCTCCGGGGTCTCAGTCGCTCTGCCGCTTGCTGTCAGGGGTCCTCGGGCGCCTGTCCCCGGCTGTGACTGTCGCCCCTGGTTCTCCCAGCTCCGGAGCAGAACCAGCTCCCTCGTTGCTGTAGTTGGCGCCTCTGACTCCTGCGCCCGGAGCCTTTCCTCCGGCTTCGAGCCGCCCGTTCTGCGGAGGGCTTGCTGTTCGCCTCCTGCTTTCCAGCTGGGTTTCCACCATTTCCTTACTGATCGAAAGCATTCCTTCTGGCTGCTGTTTGTTGTAGTTCGCTTTCCCCGTTGCCCTTTGATTTGATTTATTGGTATCTTTTGATTTACAGATGCCTTTGATTTTACCTTGTGGGATTAAATTTGCAAGTCCCAGAGACGACGTCTGGCTCTCTGCCTCCAGTTCCCTGGCCGGCCTTGCACGCCGTGGCCCTTCTCCCCGAGGCAGGAAATCGCTCCCATCTCCTGTTCCCCTCTGGGCTTCCCATCCACTCTGCACCCCCACGTGTGGTCAGAGACGAGCCCACCTTCAGAGGGCCAGGCTGTCTTGTCTTCTGAGCCTGTCTCTGGCCACCCGAGAGCGAGCTGCAGGGGCTGATGGCCATCCTGATGCATGGGCAGGGTCACGCCTGGCTCTGGCTTAGGCAGGCCTCCCTGGACAGAATGGTGGGTTCTGGAAGCGCTTGTCCTTGGCACAGGCTTCTGAGCGCCTGCCCTAGCCGGTGACGTGCTCTGTCTGTGCCCCTCCCTTCTGCAGTGTGCTGGTGGCAGAGTGGACACTGGAGACGTCCCCTCCAGGGGAATTGCTGGCACTTGGCACTTCCTCCCCGTTGTGTGGAGCGTCTGCGAGTGCCGTGGGGGGTGGGTCCGGGGCACAGAGGGTGCCTGTGGACCAGCTGTTTGACCTGGAGCTGGTGATTCCTACGCCTCTGTTTTGCCATCTGCACAATGGGCTGCAGTCCTCAGTGCCCACGGCGTCTGGAGGCAGAGCTGAGCGCCCATGCCTGTCATTTCTTACCCCACGTCCTGCTCACCCTTGTCACATAACCTCTTTACTTACTGCTGCTCTGTGGTGCTGTTACTCAGTCGTGGTCACTCCCTGTCGCCGCCTCCGTTACTCAGGATTGTTACTCGCTGTCATTGCCACCGTTGCTCAGCCCTGTTTGCTCCCTGGGCCACCATCCCCCCCTCTGCCACGACGTCCCCCCTTGTCTCCCACACCGAGTTACCGTAGTACAGCCCCGCCCGCTGCCTTTGGGGAGCCCGTGGACGCTCTACCCTGTGGCCCCGTGGAACCCACGGCTGCGTTTTCGTTGTCGTCTCTGCTTCACAGGTTTGAAAACAGGCTCAGAGCTTCAGGCTGGATGATCCCTCCCATCTGTCCGTCCCCGGTTTTGGGGCCTCCTGCAGGACCCCTGGGTCCATCCCCAGAGCCACCCTCCAGTCTCATGCCCCCCACGCTGAGCCCCTTCGGCCCGGGGATGTGACTTGGGGTCCTTGATTGCGAAGCACTCCCCTGCTAGATCGAGGGGCAATGAGGCAGAACCCAGGCTGGAAGGCAGCTGGCCTCCGGGGTGAGGGAGGAGCCTGCGGGGCTCCTGTCCAGTCTCTCGCGTCCTTGATTCTCTCCCCCAGCCCCTGCCCTGCAGCCAGCCGCCCCTCGGCCCGGTGCAGCTGCACAGACATGCTGGTGGCCGTCCAGCCCAGCTTCCCCGGCGTGAGGCAGCCAGCTCCCTCCGGGAGGGTCCGCGTCCCCAGCCATGGGACTTGTGCGCACCGTGGCTGCAGGGCCACCCTGCTGGGGCAGCTCCGGGAGACCGGGGCCACAGAGTCCAGGCTGCAGTGCTGTCCCCGCCTTCCCCCAGATCCCTCAGGAGGGCCACAGCCCCCTGGTCCTACCCATCTACTTCCTGCCCAACTCCTGGCTCCTTGGGGCGCCGGGGACCCCACAGCCAGGGGTGGAAGCTGGGGCGAAGCCTGTCTGTTAAGCCCTGATGGTCTCCTGGAGGGGCAAGCAGCGGGGACGGGCGCAGCCTCCAGGGGCCCTCTCCCTCCACCCCACGGGCCAGGAGAATCCTATCTGCACAGCCGCTCCCCTGAAGCAGGGCGTCTCCTCTCGTTCTCCCCGAGGCAGATGCGAGAGAGAACAGTTTGAACCGCTGCGTGGGGTGCAGCGGGGAGACCGGGACGTGGCCTCGGGTGCACCGGCTGCTGTGACGCCAGCCGGCCGGCCTTCTGCCCAGAGAGCTTTTAAAAGCAGCAGCAGCTCAGAAAGTCGGCAAGGCGTGAACGGGAGGGGTAGCACAGTCCTCGGCTCCCGCGGCAGCTGCATCGGTTTTTTTTAAACATGTCGTTATTGATTTCAGAGAGAGGAAGGGACAGAAACATCGCTGATGAGAGAGTCATTGATCGGCTGCCTCCTGCTGGCCTCCTGCTGGGGATGGAGCCCGCACCGGGGCCTGTGCCCCGACCGGGAATCGAATCTCGATCTCCTGGATCCCAGGTCGACGCTCAGCCGCTGGGCCACGCCGCCCGGGCCCAAACACGTCTATTTATAAAATGCGCGCACACGCGTGCTCATAGCACGTCTCACTTCCTAGTTTCACATGCTGCGTTAGGATCAGGGTCCCGGAACATAACCGGGGACCCTGTCCAGAGCTTGGCGTGTGCAGGGCCTGGGGCCCCGCTGTGTCCCCAGAGGACCCGGACCGTGGCCGCCACCCCTCCCCATGGCCCCCAGGCTGAGAGGAAGGGGAGTGGACTGGGCCTGGCCTTCAGGGGGAATATCTGGTCCTCTGTGCTGGTTTATTTCGCTCAGCACGTTGTCCTCCAGGTTCACCCCTGCTGTAGCAGGTGTCAGGATTTCCTTCCTCTTTAAGGCGGAATAGAATCCCGCCGTGTGGACGGACCACGCTTCGTTTTTCCGTCCCTCCCCTGAGGGACGCTCGGGCTGCTCCCGCCTTTTGCTGCTGCGATGCAGGGGCGTGGCGGCCCCCGAGTGCTGTCGTTTTGTTCACTTCTATTTTCCTGTCACGAGTTGCCGTAGGAAGTTGGCTCTGGTTTGTGTCAATTAGCCTGCGGTAAAATGGGTTCTGTTCCGCGTCGTTTCACTTAAAGTAACAGAACCTGTTGAAAATGTGAAGTGAGGACGTACCGTGTGAGTCCCTGCTTTCAGATCTTTGGGGGGAAGCTGTCACTGGGGCCCTAGGTCCCCTGGGCTGGCACACCCTGCCCCACCCCAGCCTCCTGTTCCAGGGAAATATTAAACACTCGTAAATGAATAGTTATTACAATGGAAGGTGCCAATCGAACGCATCCCCGTGCATCCCCCTCGTGACGAGGAAGGAAACCCAGGAGGCCCCGCGGCCTCTCGCAGCCCAGCCTCCCGCTCTGGTGACAGCTGGCATTGCCCAACGGCCTGAATTGTCAGGAGCATCACATCTTGGAGCTTCCGAATGGCTTTGAGGATGTACCCGAGCCAGACACTGGGCAGCTCTGTGGTCCCCACTTTGTGTTAAGGGGTCATCATGCACCGTGTGAGCCGCGTCCTGTCCCCCACCGACTCTGCTCCTGCAGGACCAGACCACCCTTGGTCTTCCGTCCCTGAAGGTTTTGCTGGAACACGCAGTGAGCGTCTGGCCGCGCAGGGTGGAGTCCAGTGGGGGGGTATCTGTGACACCCCTGTTTTACACACCCGGAGCCAGATGGTCTTTCCAGAGTCACTGGTCTGTTTATAGCCCCCACTCACCCCCACAATGCGAGGGGCCACCCGCCGTCATCTCCTCCCTCTGAGGACCCGATTGGGGCCAACCCCTGGCCTGGAAAGAGAGGACTTCTCCAAAAGAGGGAAACTGGAGACCGCGCAGGTCACCAGCAAAACTTTTTAAAATGTGTAACAGGTGCTCTAGGTAGAGAAAAGGTTTCACACCCATGAAACTACAGTGAGAGCAGGAAATTAAAATGAAAGAAAGGAGATGGAGATTTCCCAGCGAGTGGGACCAAGGGACAGAAGTAGGAGGCGGGCCTGAGAGTCGGAGGGTCGGTAGACACCCCCAGGGTTCGTAAGGGGGACACCCTAGCTTAGTGCAGATGCCACTGTGCTTCCTGCTGGAGCTGCCAGGTACCCCCTGAACGCAGCCTCGGAAAACTGGGGTGACACCCCTCAGAGGCTCGGGGGGAGCCTGCCCCGCTTCCAGCCTCTGGTGGCCCCCTTGTCCCTGGGCTTGTGGCTGCGTCCCCCCAGTCTCTGTGTCGGGTCACTCNAGAAAACTGGGGTTTGCCCCCCTTCCAGCCTCTGGTGGCCCCCGTGTCCCTGGGCTTGTGGCTGCGTCCCCCCAGTCTCTGTGTCGGGTCACTCAGCTGCCTCCTCTCCCAGGTGTGTCTGTGTCCTGTTCCATTTTCTGTAGACACTTGTCCTTGGATCAGGGCCAGCGGACGCTCTAAGCAGGGGCGGCGAGCCTTCCCTAGGAGGAGGTTGGGACGTGATGTTAACCCGAGCGCAGGAAGGGGCAGCTAGCTCAGCGTGTGGCCCCAGGAGCCCCCAGCCGCCCACCCCAACCACCTCCTGTTTGCTTCTCTGTGCAGCGGCCCCACGGCCGGCGCCTGCTCCTCGGACGAGACCGCGCCAGAGGTGGCCCCCGTGGCCACGAGAGAGAAGATCCGATCCAGGTTCCACGGCAGCCACGACCTCATCCATCGCCTGTTTGTCTGCATCTCAGGTGCCACGTGTGGGCCTGGGCGGGCGGGGGCTTGTGGGCATGTGGGGCCGTGCTTTGGGCGAGTGGGTGGTGCCGGTGGGGGCTGACGTTGGCTGCAGGTGAAATCCCAACTGTGATGAGATGAAGTGGGGGGTGCTGGCTGATGTCAGGGTGCCGGTGGGGCCCAGCCCTGTCCGGGGGCTTTCTCGCTGTGTCCTGTCATCGCCCCGAGCCCTGTGGTGAGCCCCTGTGCCGGCACAGAGGGGGGCTTAATTCACCGCCAGGGTCCTCCAGCAGCGGCCTCTGCGCTGCCACGGGGAGGTTCTGGTCACGTTGTGGTTTAGATCCTGTTTGTGTCCTGACTAGTTGGTGTCCTTCCCTCGGTTGGCCACAGCCAGAGGGTGAGGGGAAGTGACTGTTTTGGCTCCCGGGGGAACTCAGAGAGGGAAGCGAGCAAAAAGGTGTCTTTTTCACACTTTCCTTTAGTTTTTAATACGTTTTTATTGATTTCAGAGAGAGGGACAGAGAAAAACATCAATGGTGAGAGAGTCATTGATCGGCTGCCTCCTGCACGCCCCCCACCAGGGACGGAGCCCGCAACCCGAGCCTGTGCCCCGACCGGAAATCAAACTGACCTGAGCCACACGGGCCGGGCTTCCTTAGTTTTGTGTCTTTTAAATTCATACACATCCACATGGTTCAAAAGGATAAAAAGTGTGAAGTCCCCCCACACACACTGCCTGCCCTTCCCACCTGCCCCAGGGGAGGGGCTCCGGCAGTGCTGGTCCCGCAGTGGCTCTGTCTGCCCCCCACCTGGTGCCCCTTCTGCTCAGGCCTCGGGGCCTCAGGGAGGAGGGCTGGCGCGGAGCACAGTGTGGGGCAGCCTGTGGACTGGTCTCACTGCAGAACTGGGGTCATGAGCCCAGGGATCACCGCCAAGGGCCCCCATGGGCACAGCTTGGGCCCGGCCAGGTGGGCCCAGGAGGACCCCGTGGCTCCGAGCTTCAGTTCGCTCACCTGCCAGCATGGACCAGACGGTCGGTTTTGGTTTTTTAAATCCTCAACAGAGGATATTTTTTCCATTGATCTTTTAGAGAGAGAAAGAGAGAGAGAGAGGGATTGGTTGCCTCCCACACGCACCCCAGCTGGGGCCGAGGATTCAACCTGCAACCCAGGTTCTTGCCTTTGACTGGGAATCAAACCCGCGACCCTTCGGCGTGTGGGCAGATGCTCTGACCACTGCAACACGGGCCAGGGCTGCATGCTCGGGTCTGAGGGTTAAGGGAGATGGTGTCCAGCAGGTGCCCAGCACAGCTGGCACAGGAACCCTCCGGAAGCTGGGGCCGCAGTCTTGTCTCTGGGATGGGTCACGGGGCGGCCGGCCATGTTCAGCGGGGTGTGCACAGCCTCTCTGTGGCTTTGCGACAGCCCAGTTACCCCCTAAAGAGCTAGCATTGCTGTCCACTGAGAAAGGCCGAGTCCCCCTAATTTCTGGAAGGAGGGAACCTCTGCTGGTGGGGGTGGGGGGCATTTTCCTGCCGGGAAGTGGCTGGACATGGGGCAGAGTAGCTGGGCGTTGTGCACCACCTCCTGGCCAGGTCCACCCTCAGGCCCCCAGCTCCTGGAACCCCTGCAGTGGCCTTGCAGCAGAGTTATTTGGGGCAACAGTGTTTGCTGGGGTGGGGCGCACGTCTAGGTGCCCGAGTGGCCATGACTGTGAGAGGTGCTGCCTCAGGTGGGCAGAGTTTGGGGCTCTGAGATCTCCCCTCCGTGAATGGCCAGGACTGTTTAGTGGTGGTGGCTGTGACCGTAAGGATAAGACGTACCCTGAGCGTTGGCTTCTTTCAAAGAAGTATCCCCGGGGCTGGGCGGCTGTTTTTGCCCTGACCCTCGTGAGGACACGCCCAGGCCCCAAGCTGGCCAGCCTACCCGCCTTCCTGTCCCCTCCCCCAGGTGTGGCTGACCAGCTGCAGACCAACTATGCCAGCGACCTGAGAAGTATCCTCAAGACCCTCTTCGAGGTCATGGCCACGAAGCCAGAAATGGACGACAAGGAGAAGTTAAAGAAGGGTGAGTGCCCCCTCGGGACGGGCTGTGCTGTCCAGGGTGTCCAGCACCCCAGGAACAGGTGATGGAGCACGGACCCCAGCGGTCGCCCTTTCTCTTCCAGTCACCCAGACCCTGCGGAGCGCGGCTTTGGAAGACTGCGCCCTGTGCCAGGAGACTCTGTCGTCCTCTGAACTTGCGACCAAGACCCGCGACGGGGACTTGGAAGGTGCGTGGGGCGCTCTGGCCCACCTGGACGTGTCCTCTGTGTCCCAGATCACAGGCTCTGAAGACAGCTCTCCTCTGGCTGCCCTCCTCTCAGGCCTTCTGGGCATGTAGCTTCCCATAGGGAGGGAGTCCCCACAACGTCTTCTCCTCAGTTCCAGGGTGCACACATGGTCCCCCTGGCCCCTGCCGAGCATCCTCAGGCCAGCTACTTAATGTATTTTATAGTCTGGGGAGTGCACGGGCGTGAGGAGCAGGGAGGTGCTGGGGTCCAGGCCTTTGGCTGTGCTGGAGGTGGCTGGTCCTGGGGCACAAACACATTCCTGACCCCCCCAGCCTTCATGGGCACTGCAGGACAGGCCTCCCATGGCAGCCTCCACACAGGGAGCTGCGGGTGAGCTCTGGTCACATGGAAGCCGGGACCCCCTGCGCCCCACTAGCTTGGAGGTCAGGGACCCCCTGCACCCCTACGACCCTGGAGCCTCAGGCTGCAGCTGGGGTCTGATCGACAGGCACTGATCTTCCTCAGGATGCCACCAGTTTCCCAAAACCACAGCCAAGGATGAATCCAGGGATGGACTGGAGACAAGGGGGCGGGGGCTGCGGGCCACCAGCCAGAGGCTCCTGCACACCTGTCCACCTGCCCCCACTGTCGCTGATTCCTGGCCCCCTCTGCCTGACGTGTCCCCCACTCTCTTGTCACAGACCCTCCCGAGTGGGTCCCGGACGAGGCCTGCAGCTTCTGCACTGCGTGCAAAGCGCCCTTCACGGTCATCCGCAGGAAGCACCACTGCCGCAGCTGCGGGAAGGTGGGTGGGGCCCGGGAATTGGTCACCGGTGCAGCACAGGGTCTGGAAGTCAGACCAGTGCCATGGGGCTGGGAAGGCCCCTGAGCCCAGGCCCTGCTCTGACCTGGCACAGGGCATGGACTCCGAGCACTTGGCCCACAGGGTCTGGGTAATGCCACGTCCCCTCCCCCCTGCTTCCGAGCTGGGAACAGGGAGGGGACAGAGGGTCTGAACAGGAGCCTGCAGCAAACTTGGTGTGGGGCCTGGGACACCCTCCTTGAGCCTGGCCTCCTGGAGCCACAACGTGTCCCAGGTTTTCCTGAAGGTCCCAGCCCCACAGTGGGGCTGGCAGACCCCTTCCCACTAGTGCCTTGCCTGGCCTGGGTGAGAGGGATGTATGGGGGGTCAGAGGTACTCGGATCGGACAGTCTCCTGGGCACTCTCCCTGTGGGGCCAAGGTCAGGGGCGTGGCACAGGTGTGCTGTTGGGGACCCCTCCTTGGCTCACAGCCCCCCTGCCTTCCAGATCTTCTGCTCCCGCTGCTCCTCACACTCGGCCCCGCTGCCCCGCTACGGGCAGGTGAAGCCGGTCCGCGTGTGCACGCACTGCTACATGTTCCACGTCACGCCCTTCTACAGCGACAAGGCAGGCATCTGATATGGCACCGGGCGCTCCTCGGACCGCCAGAGCCCAGGAGGACTCCCAGGAAGGTGTCCCGCTCGCACCCCTGCTGCCTCCATCCAGACGCTGCTCTGGAGGGTTTTCTCTGCATTTCATCAGTTGCTGCTGCGGAAACTTCCAGAATGCCCTTCACCTCATCCCAGCCCTGCTGGCCCCCCACCCGCAGGAGCCAGCGGGCAGTCAGCTTCGGCCAGCGGGGGTCCCTGAGGTGCCAGGTGGCTGCCCAGGCAGGGCGGACTCTCCTCTTGCTTGTCCACCTGCCCCGAGGCTCAGCCACAGCAGAAGGCCTGCTCAGGCCGTGACAGGGGAGGGTGGTCGTGGTCTGAGCTCCAGCCGCCTCAGCACCTGGGGCTAAACTGGGCGGTGGTGGACACTACAGGAGAGCGGCGAGGCCTGAACGCTCCACAGGGCTTCCCCACGTGCTTGCCAAACCAGAGGGACCAGGCTGTCCCTCTCCCCAGTGCCCAGAGCCAGGGCGCCCATCTCATTCCCCTGCGCCACTTGCGCCCACTCCTCTCAGCACCTCGGCTGAGCAACACCCATCTCATTGCGCCCAGTGGTCCTTTGGGTGAGCCATGCCCTACCCTCGTCCACTTGCTGATGAGGAGGGGCCAGCATGGAGACCCACAGATAGAGGTTTGGGTTCTTAGGCCAGGGCTCCCCAGGCAGCCAAGGACCCCTGGACGTCACCCACTCGGCTACCGCTACTCCCTCCCTCTGCACCCCTGGGACCTTGGCCCACCTCCTGACCCCGGAGCGGCCAGGCCCAGCACAGACACCTCCTCAGGCTAAATCTCAGGCTTCACATTGCAATGAGGATTGCAGCTTTATTTTTAGAGAGAGGACACACCTACTGCTTCTTTTATAGGATAAACCCCAATTACTATGTAACAGTGGGATACACATGCACAAAACAGCTTCTGTGGGGGGGAAAGTATATAACGGAGTGAATATTATGTATTGAGATTATTTTTATTTTCTAAATGCTGTAATTCGAAACCATTTCCATAAATCTATTTGCGGATTGCAGACGCCCTTGTGTCCCGTGTGATCACGGACGCCTCTCTCGTCTGGGATGCGGTGTGTTCTTGCTCGCGTGCACTCCCCCAGAAGGCTGGGGGGTCCTGGACTCTCAGGACAATCGCAGGGCAGGACTGGCTTCCTTCCCACCAGCGCCCAGGAGGAGGGTGGCTACCTATCCCTCACCCCTCCCTTGGAGGGCTCCGGCGCTCCACAGCCTGTCCACTGCGGAGGTGTGGTCACTCTGCCCTCTGAAAGGTGGCCCCACCCCAGGGGCGGAACCAAGGCCTGGCGGTGCAGAGGGGTTAGTCTAAGGCAGTTTCCCTGCTCAGGAAGGATCTTCAAGGAATGACCTGCTGCCCACCCACAGCAGGGACTCAGGACTGGGAGACCCTGCGGTGGGGGCAGGGAGAGTGCCAAGAGCAGCCTTCGTGAGCCTCAGTTTCCCCATCATCACCCTCACCCTTCCCCATACTGTGTTTTGAGTGCTGGGGAAAGTGAGGCTCAGGGAAGTGTGCAGGCAGCACGGTCAGGTCGCGGGCTTTTAGGAGGGTCACCAAGGGGCGGAAGCAGTCCCTTGCCTGAGGGGGTTGGGAGACACTGGCCCTGGGCTCTGCCTGGAGGCCACTTCCGGGGAAGGCAGCTCTGGAGACAGGAACTCCACCAGCATCTGGCGCTCCAGCCTGGCAGCTGGAGGAAGGCTGGGGGCCACCAGGAGCCGGGCGCATCTGGGTCTGGATTGCCCACCTCACCCCAATCTGGGCTATGCACAGGGCTGGGGAGAAGGCCAGCATGCTCTCCAACACCCCCCTGAAGCTTCCGGTAACAGGCAGGGGCCCTAGACCTAGCTGCCTCCCCCCTCCCAGATACCCTGAACCCAGACACAGCCTGTAGTCCTCCATGGGGCAGGTCTCCAAAAGATGGAGGGCATGAGATGGAGCACCCCGAGCTTTCTATCCAAGCGGGCTCAGGATGGGGGGGCAGAGAGAGCCACCATGCCTGGCCTTGAGGAGGTGGCAGTGGGGTGGGTCCTACCCCCTCCCACTGCGGGTTCTGCTCAGTCCATACGCCCCCCCCCCCC